TAGTAACTCAACTAGTTACTTGAATGTGTCTACTGAAACAATACATTGGTTGCATACTAAATAATTTATTACTTTTTCTTGTACAGCAATATGAATCTTAATCAAATGAATGTCTGTCAAAAAGAACTACCATAAGAACCATGTAACCACCATTAAACGGTGTATTAATATCTCAAGAAATTTAAGAAAGGTCAGTGTAAGTACTCTCGTCATTTGTTTTTAGAACAAAATTTAGATAACTCTGGGAAAAAGGACCTAATTACTAAATGCAAATTGCACAGAATACTGATTTCCCCTCCTCAAACTACTGATTTACAATACCGTGGACCTAAAGTACAATTAATTAATTAATTAATGTTATAATTAATCCACAAATGATTTGTACAGATGCCAAGGGAAAAAAATCTTTATACTGATTAATTTCCCATGTAAAAATGCAGCTAAATGACAGGAGAGAAATTTTAAGAATCCTTTTTCTCTTTTCAAAGGGAACAGTAAATTCTTAGGTATTTGGTTTTGTGACACAGAAAAGCAAAATTAGGTCATGGGAAAATAAATTCACTGTTGTCTTAGTTTTGTCTGGTGCAGTTGCTGAACACTTACAGAGTTTCACGTCTCAGAGTATCAATAGGGATGTTCTTGCAGTGCTGGAGGCCATTTTGGATGGATCAGTGCTCACGTTTTGATGGCATTCTCAAAAAGGGGATAAGGAAAAGCTGCAGTTGTACTCCGCTTGGTACTGGGGTACTCAGCCTAGCACTACATTAAAATGGGGAGGTAGAGATGTACACAATACCATTGCCCAATCTGGAACTAATTTGACATTATAAGTTTTATGAAACTGTGAAGTAATTTTAAAATACTTCAGGAGCTTAGACGACTCATTTACTTCAAACAAACCTGACACAAAAGTTCTTATCCTTTTAGGATTTTGATTAAAAGAATCATAATAAAATGTAATATCAACTACAGAGCACAGGAATTTTAACACATAATCAACAGAATACTATTCAAAAAGTATTTGTACAGTGTCAGCAATATCCCCAGTTAAATTGATTTTTTTTTTTTAATTCATCAGAGCTTCTCTCAGAAGTATGCACTGTTCTGACTACCCAAACCCTAAATTGTGGCTTTTCCTTCTAAAAGTTTTTGCATGTGTCTTTCATATATCAGACTCTTACATAGACTGGGAACCAGCTCATCACTTTATACTTTTAAGCACTGACAATACTGAGGTTTTGGTAATGGCAGTTTTACCTGCCCTAATTCATAGTTGCATTATTTGTAAGTCAGGAGGTTTTAACATATATTATGTTTTGGTAAAGCATTCCCTAACTAGGTGGAAAAGAATCAATCCTGCTTTTTGCTAGAATTTACAGCTTGGCACACCTAAGTCAATATATACCAGTACCTTATTTATTCTTCTGTGAAAAGAGGAACATGGAAAGATGAGACAGAGATGACTTGCATGCAAGCATCTTTAAAAGGCTAGCTAAAGAACACCAGGATATTCTAGGGAACTGACCAGATGAGCACTATTTAAAAGTTGTAAAGAAAAAGACCTAAGTAATGATGACCATATCTAATCGATTCAGACAAAATAATAATCCAGCTGATAATAGATTAAACTGGGAATTAAATAGGTAACAACATTAATATCAGCTTACAGAAAACAGATGCTGTCAAACTTGGGTTGTTTTTGGTTTTTTTTGAGATTACAAATTTGCTTGACATGGGTAGCTGATAAATACATGTAGAGAGGGAAGCAATGTGATTCTGTAGTCTAACCTCCTGCCTAGCACAGTCTATACTACTTCTAGGTTGAAGTCCAGTCTTTGTTGCTGGACATAGGTTTCAGAAAAATGTCCTATACTTATTTTTAAATGGCCAAATATGGAGAATTCTTATAAGCCTGGATAACTTGCGTCAGTGGTTGATTTCCTGGCAAGTTAAAATCTATGTGTGGTATTTATATTTGATGGCTTTCAGTTTCTAGACAATGAAAGCTTAAATCCCAAAATAGCTTGTAATATCTAAGACTCTCCTGTTATCAAATTTCCACTCTCACGGATGCCACAAGATTATACCAACATATAAGCCAATCATTACCTGCACTTTTGTGGGATTCTTGTCACTCTTCTCCTGAACCTTCTAACAGTTTTTTCAGCAGCTTTCCTGAAGTTCAGACATCAAAATGGTTCATTATATTCCAGTTTTAGTCATGCAAGTGTCAAAAGCGGAGGAAAAACATACTCTCCACTCCACTCTGTTTTCTGTTTATACTCCCAAAGATCATAGTAGCTTTCCTGGACCTAGCATCATGATGCATTCTCATATTCAGCTGATGAGCCATACGAAACCTTATGTTTTTCAGATTCACTGTTTCTCAGGCCAAAATCCCTTCACCCTATACATGTATTTATTGATATGCAAACATTATGGAACATAGTTTATTTGCTTACATCTTGTTTATCAAAGCACTTTGTCCCAGATATTGAACAGATTGTAAATTAGTTGGGGGTGAGGTAGGATGAAAGTCCTGTGCTGAGATTTTTTTCGCATTCTCCAAGCATTCAAATCAATACTTCAAAAACACTACTTTTCCAGTCAAATGCCGCATAAACTTCTGGAGGAAGCTTTGTCATGCAAAATTTACCACAAATCTTTTTCCTCAGAATTCAAAGGAGGGCAAATAAAACAAAAGCAGGGTAGGGACATAGGGTAAGCATCCTGCGGTAAGAAACAGAAATACCTTAGGCTTCAGCAAGAGATGAAGGCTCTTAGTGTTTACTGCTACAGTTAGGGAATAGCTGTGTAGCATGTTAGATTAAACAATAATCAATTAATGAATCCCCTGCCTCTAAACTGTAAGTTTAAATTTGTCCTCTATTCATTGTGTGTGATCTCTCACACACAGAAAAGAAGATTATACTTGGTTCTACTGTGTAGGTTTGTAGATCACCGCAACAACCATCCACCTTCTAAGACAATAGCTTGATAAGTATACTTTCAAGCAGCAGTGGTGGCATATGCATCCTTCAGCCACTCATTCCCACTACTATTACTCATTTCAGCTGTGCCAAAGAAAATTGTTGCTACACAGTAAAGTTGATTGGAAAACTGATCTCTGGATTAATCTTTTTTTTTTTTTCTTTTTTTCTTGCTGGATTATTTTTAACCCAGACTACTCCTTAACTCAGTGAATTATGTGACTACAAATGAACCTGCCCCAAACCCTAATAACAAAAACATCAAAATCCCCCATATTGAACAAAAGTGGTGGGGCTGAACAGACACTAGGACAAGTTTTCATAGTGAGAGACAAAAGAAGCCAAGGAGAAGATAACAGGCTTTTAAAAAGTACTTGTCACTAATATCCTTCCAGGCAGAACTGTCAGTCATTAGAGTGGCTGCTCTTTTTTTTTTTTTTTCCTTATGATAAAAAAATCTGTTTGTTTAACTTAATCACAGATAAAACTAGTCCTCGTATATTCTCAGTAAATTTTTTCCTCAGCTGTCATTCTGCCATGAAAATATTTGCTGCAATAGAAGACACCTATTAGTTTGTATTTGGTTTCAGTTTGCAGTCTGTGGAAAAACTCACCACATGACAAATTTTAAGAGGCTTTACGCATGCATAAACTATTCTGTAAAGTCCAGCAGAACTATTAAAGCCCTGTACATACCATGTACAGTAGTGAAAAAATAACTAAGGAGTAGCGTTAAAAAGCTCACAGCATTGCCTTGCTTTTGACAGTAAGCCCAGTCTGAAACCCTCTCCCTAGTTTACCAGATTTAAATCGGCATGTGCCCCTCTTATCTCATTATTCATTCAGATTGGGAGATGCGGATCATTAAGCTGGGTACTAATTTCTTCCTAAACTGCACTCATTCATCATTAGTTGGCAGTGAGAGGTTGATCAAGTCAGTTGTGGAATACTTCTGTGACCCTCCCACGAATTGTATATTTTCTGCATGAGTTACTTAAGAAATTCTCTAGAAGTTATTTTAACAGTTTTAGTAGCCATTTTGTTAAGCATGATGATTTCTGTGGTCCAGTTAGTCACAGAGGTCTCTCTGTCATATTCACAAATTATCTTCTCTACTCTGGGCTTATATGTTTGGTATTATCTTCCATATTGTGTATAAAGGGTATTTGTGTACTGTTCTTTCTAAAAAGACATCTCTGATGGACTGTTACTACAAATCACGACAGAGTCTGGTATTGCACAGAATGATGTCTCTTCACTGGGGACAATCACTGTTGTCAGTAAGGATTAGCTAGATAGTGTGTGAGGAGAGGGTTACTCTGAGAAGATTCATGTAATAGCTAAAAGATTCTTATATTTCCTTCTGACTTGAGCTTCTCTCTCATGAACAATTTTAAATATTATAGCACAACCCATTTGCAGTAACTTAACTTGTGCCTCAGACGATTTTTCATGATGAAGAGAAGATATCCTCATTAATAATTTGGTGGATGAAGAGCTACTAACATCCATAGTATGAATCATCAACATATTTTGTGTCAGCTATGTTTTTCTAAATAATAAGTCTATTGTATAGAAATATTTTTTACAAAATGCATGGGTATGAAAATGTAACAACAGATTGGGAATTAAACACATTTGCAATGCATAAGCTGCCCAACATTCCAGTTAAGGAAACTTCTGCAATGGAAATTTTACAGAGACTATTTTTTGCCTTCTCATAGACCTCTGGGGTTTTTGCCAGCTTATAATAATTTGTAAAAATATTAGCATAATACAAGTTAGAGACAGGAACAACATAAGAAATCACTCCGTTTATCCACAAAGCAAAATTATTTTGCTAGAAGACACATCAGATGCTTATCACCTCTTAATATAGTTGTATTTTTTGTTTAATAACTAAAAGAAACCATATGCTGGGTTTTTTTCCTGTGGTATAGAACTGTTCGCCCTAAGAAACAGACAATTGTTCAGGTCTGTGTATTGAAATGTACCAAATCACTTATTTACCTGATTTTTCAGAGGGAAGAGAAATGCTGGTTTTTGTAGTGTCCAGAATAACAGCCAGCCCTGCAGAGAGTGATGGGAGGATGCTGGAGCTGAGATCTACACGAGTTAGACTTTCAGGTTCTCTTTCCAAGGCTTTTAGAATACCTTCAGCACAGTTATCTTCTCTTTCATCCTTGTTCTGACTGTTCTTCTGTGGACTCTGAACAATATGAACGATACTTTGCTGGGCCAGGTCACAGTTCTGCAACACAAAACCAAAACCCCAATAAATCATAAATTGTGACGTAAGGAACAAAATCCCTCTATCTCCAATTTGTTATTTGTTAAATGGTCTCCAAGCCATTTTGTGTAGAATTTCAGTGTGCGGTAATGGAGTTTAAAGCAAAGTGACAAGTGTAAATTGCTCGAATTAGGATTACTTGCATTGGCAAAAGGGTCACAACACTTACAAATTCTAAACATTTAACAAGGAAATGGTGGATCAGAGCCAACAGCTTTAAATAAGTCTGGTTTATTGGCACAAAGGAAAAACTCCAGAGGGAGCACTACAAAATCAAGTGCTAAGAATATTCAATACTTAAAACGCATTTGCACAGATAATGCTGATAGACACTCTTTATGTAGGGTCAATTTTGGGTCAAATTTGACAATCACAGAGAGTTCATGACCAAGCTAGTCCAACATATCTTTGTAAACAGAAACAGGGATGATGATGCTGCCGATGAAGACTGATACTTATTTCTTGTCCCTAATGTAACTGTCAATCTAAATCTGGCTTTAGATGAAGACTCAGTATGAGTTTCCCATTCTTTCCAAAGATGACATTTAACTGTTGACTTCAGAATTAGAGAAAGCTTGTGGAAGATCTCATGACCGCTGTATTCTTTGCTGGTAAAACAAAAGGATTGCTACCCATTTTAGCCCAAAAGGCCTCACATATACATAAGTACTTCCTCTTTCTCAGCTCTCATCAGAGGTGATTCTCAGACAGTCTTTCCAGATCACGTGTCTTAGAAAAACGCAGGGTGAATAAGGATCTTATGAAAGGTTTATCCATGATAAATCAGGATAGAAGTCACATTTTGTTCAGCATTTTCCTGATATGGAATAGGAAAGCAAAACATTATCTCAGAATTAGAAATTACAGAGATTTTAGATGACCTATCATTAATGAAGGGCTTTCAAGAAAGATTTGTATTGATCTTTTCACAGGCACACCTTGCAACAAAAATGGTTCTTTTTGGGTGATACCTCCTGGAGATCCATACCTAGTTCTCCACTGTCATGAATGAACCACATACAAACATCAACATACACACAAAGAAGACTGAATTTCCCTCAAGAAAATAAATTTCTAACTCTTTGCAGCATCATTAGGTTGGCTGTGCCTGTACTGAAACGTCAAGACAGATTGCTGATTACATTTGTGAGGAACAGAAAGAGAATTCAGAAGCATTTGTCTCGGTATCTACACAATATTTAAATTGTTTAGTTTGTATTTGCAATTATTACATGCATTTTTAATTGCAAAAGATTCCTTTACAGATATTTTAGTGCTGTTTATACCCTTGTTATTATCCCACACTCTCTTTTCTACCACTTTTTCTCCTCTGGTCTCATTTCTATTTAGTGGTTTTCCTTCATTCTCTTGCATTATTTCTCAGTACTTGCCCCTCCACTCTTTCTGTCCTATGTAATGTAATGCAGTTCTAAAAGACAAAAATCTGTTTTGCCTTTTTTTTTTTTAATTGAATTTTTAATAACATGCTCTTTCCTTAGTGAAGCAGTAATCAGCCAGCAGAGATTTGTGAGAGCATGGACACTGTAGTCTTAATATTCAAACAAAGCAGTTATTAGATTTCAACTTTAAAACATTATGTTGACATTAAAGGTCTCCTTTTTCGTACAACTTGTTGCTTATAACATTTTAACAAGATCCATTTAAACAGCTTAATAATTTCATTCATTAACACAAAATCCAAAATGCTGCTGTCACTCTAAAACTTCTCCAACTAAGAATACTGCATAGCATTAAAGAATTTAATAACCTAAGAGAAATTAATAATGAAATTAATAACCTAGGTAAATGATGAGCTCAAAAATGATTTGCTCAGTTACAGCTAGAATTACAAAGGGAAATATGTATATATGTAAAAACTCACAACCTTGGAAACCCCTAATCAACTGTCAATCAGTCAAACCATGTTTTAATGAGCACCTTTTCTGGCAGTTTTTCTTGCTTAAGCAGCCCCTGTCCTGCCTTTTATTTTTTCTCACCATCTACTATCCTTCTCAGTTTGTTTCTTTTTAAAGTTTGCATCAGTTCCCTGATTCAGTTCACAGCTTGATGCTGTGCTACAGTCACACTGATGGGATGGTGCAGAAGAGAGAATAAGAGGGCTGGCAAGGGCTGCTTAAATCAAACTAAACACCCCCGAAATACCACAACCTTGTTCAACCAGTCTTGCTTGATCTTGACTCCTGTATACATTCAGATGCATGGTTTAAATTGATTGATCTTTAAAAAGTATAGGTTCCTTTTCTGTTCTTTTTGCAGACCGGAGAGTATGTGGTTAGCTTAGAAACAAAGGATGGGCTGGCAAAATAGAGCCCCATCTTATCTACTGTTCTCTCTCCAATAATGTCAAGAACCACATACTTCAAAAAAAGATGTAAAATTTGCACTTTGGGCAATTATACATCCATATGACCATAGCAATAGCGCATTCCTGGATTTCACTTAATAAAAGTTTTGATTTTAAAAGGGCAGGTGAACGTGTTGTATCTTAGCTTTCTTGCATCTCATTATCAAAAACAAGAACAAACTTTGGAACATTGAACATCACTACTGATGATGATAACGTAGGTCATAGACACAGGAAAGCTTAATTAGCAGATCCCAGGATAAGGTTTCAAAGATAGTAGCCAGGAAAAACAAACAACACCCTTTGATTTGTACACTGAGTGTATTTGATATGGAAGTCACTGAGCAGTAATAAACACGGAATACCAAATCATCAGTTTTGTAATGTTGTTTCTGATTACATTTGAATTGAATTTGGCTTGTGTTTAAAGGAGGAAAGTAATTCTCAACCTTTGCAAGAAATGTAAGAAGACAGTACAAGGGGAAGAAAAAAAAAAAGGGTTGTGGTCATATCTTAATTGTGAAGAGACCTTGATGAGAGTATCACCAAGCAGTTCCCAGAATTAGGGTGATTAATGCTTTATAGCAGACTACATTTCGTAGATGGCAGATGGGCTAGGTCTGCAGCTTTTTTCTCTGAGAAGTAGAATTCAGACTGTTTCTGTAAATGTTTAGATTTTGCCTTAGGTTACTATTGTAACACAAATCTAAGATACAATTGTTTATGTCACTGTCACTTTCATTTCCTTCGTGTGTTTGTTTTATGCCTCAGGAAACATTTCTTTTGAGAATATCTATTATTAATGATTCTAGAGATATTGTCTTGTCTTATTTGTTGATCCAAATTAATGCCTGAGATCCATATTCCAAAGGGAAATACTGCAAATATATATATTGTAGATTATGAAGTATCTCCTTGCACTAGAGCAAAGGGAGCTGAGAAGATCCAGAAGTGATGAAATCCAGTATTAAGGACTGATTCTTTACAGAGAATGGGTTTGGGCCAAGTTGGATAAATGAATTCATAGCAGATGAAATTAAAACTTTTTTTCATTCAAAACTTTTGCTTTTGCATTTTTTTCTGAATTGTCACGCTGAATTTCACAGGGCTGAATCAGCACATCCTAAGTGAAGAACACAATATCCTTTGGTACTGCCAGCTGTGGGCTAAGTAGAAGGTCACTTTGGGAGACTGAGATAATTATGAAGATGGAAAAGATGACTGTGTTTCAGTAACTCTGAAATCCTCTTGTTCTGACAGATTTCTGCTCGCTATCTTCTTGACAACATATTTTGATAGTGACATCAATACTGAAAGAAGTATTCTCCATCTAACAAATATATAGTCCACTAGAGGTCATATTATATTTTCTGAAGTGCAAGACACTTTATTTTGACGTTTTATTTAAAAAACAAACAAACAAACAAACAAACACTAGAGCAGAGAATAGTTTGAATTCAAAAACTTGGATTCGTGTGTAAAAGAGCTAATTTCTTGTAGTGTTTTGTCTTGAAAAGGAATTTGTAATATTTTCATTACATGTTAACCACCAGTTCAGGTTTTTTTAGGTGTTTGGGTTTTTTTATTGCCTACCAAACTCAAAAAGCAATTGTTCACACTCCTCTACCTAAGATCCAGTTCAAACTTTTCCTGTTATCTGGAGAGCCACATCTTTGCCCGTGAATCCCTGGGGCCTATAGAGTGGAAACAATAACAGTTTGCCTAATTGCTGCCTATTTAGATTAAGCAGATAATAGGCTGCCTGATGCCACTCAGTAAGAGATTCACACAAGGTAAATGCTCAGGAAAAGGTATTTTAAACTTCTAGGAATGATCAACAAGAATCAAAATGTTGGCTTTCCAGATAGGCTTTTTCTTAACTGTGCTGCATTTCAATACCAGATGAAAAAATGAGGGGAATATTTTTGTCTCATTAATCTGCAGAATGAATGAAATACTAAAAAAGTTCTTCAGAGTACCTATAGCACAATACACCTCTTCAAACCAATAGGACCCATGTAAAAGTGCAGATGACACAGCAACTTTGTTGGAAAAATCTTTTCCCATGGATAGTGTAAAGAGACGTTAAAGGTGACCTTCTAAAGAGAAAAAAAAGTATATGAAGTTCCCAGAAGAGAGAAAAATAAGCCCACCAGACCTCACTCTGCTATTGCTCTAACCCTCTCACCACCCAAGGACAGAGACCAAGTCTCAAAAGCAGCAGACACAGAAAGGAAATCAATTGGAAGAACAACACTATTTTCATTCCCTTATCAAAGACCAATGACTGAAGAAAGCAACAAAAAAAAAATATCCTTTATTACACAGGGAGCAAACATTGAAATATTCATGAACTTGAAAGCAGAGATTACATAAAATAAAAAATACAGATACAGTATTAACATTCTGTTAAGCCATGATGGTGTAAGAAATGGGAAGCAAGATTTGCAAGAAGACTTAACATCTTTTATTTAACCAGCTGATGCAGAAAGAAAAACCAAATAAGCTTTTGGGCTCAGAGACTCTTCTGCAGGTCATGGCAAGTGGAAATCTGAAGGGAAAATTAACCACTGTTAAAATACTGAGGCAAATCAGC